GCAAATTGCTTGTAGTTTGAACAAGACATGGTGGGAAATGAACGTTGCTCGATTGAGAAGCTTGCTGAAACCGTCGTAATGCACGATTTGACTCACGTAGAGCTTTGAGTTCCTTGGGAACGGGCGGTTCAAATTCCTCGTAACCAATGTGAAATAAAATCGTAAATATCTTTGTTAGAAGTCTGTTTCAGTAATTTTCGTCGTGCGAATAGTGTTTTACGTGAAATTCTGGTTTAGGAACATGTATCAGATTGCTTTAATTTGTACCTTGTCTAGTGGTCCATTAGCAACTTACATAGGTACGGAGAATCTCGTCCTTTTCAAAACGTCTCGTGTATTTTTCAAAGAAACTAGTTCATCTTTATTTTTTTTTTATTTATTTACTTTTTCTAAATCTCAAGAACATAGATCAATGCATTCTCCTAAATCTCACACTGAAAAAAAAACTCCGGCCGTGGAAGGCGTACTTACGGGCCAATCTTAACTACGGCTCCAGCACCCGGAGCTTCCAGTCTCTGAGTCCGGAATGGACGGTATGCCTTTATAGCCTATAATTTTTTTTTCAGTGCAATTTCAAGTAAATAAAGACTCTTCTTTGTTTACCTGTAATACATTCGATTTCATAGGCAAACTGAAACTTTTTTGCAGGATGATACAACATCGGATTGTGTGATGAAGTCACTTATGAATGAATGCACTCTTTGTTTTCTGAAATTTTCCCCTAAAGTGGATCGAAGTTATTCCCCCGATTCATAAATCTTTGTCTCTTTATGATTGTGTATGTTTGTGTATGTCTGCTTGTTTCTTTGTTTGTCGTTTCATCCTGTTAGAAACGGTATTACTTTATGTCTATTCTGACAATTGGATGATGAAAAGAAAAGGAACCTAAGGCCGCCTGAAATTCTTCGCACGAATCGAGAGTTTATTTTAAGCGCATGCGCCGTGAATATCGTATACTTTGTATACTCGTACTTACGTTTCCTTTGGTTCGGGAAACAGGAAAAAATGCGGAAAAAAAAGTGAACCATCTTTAGTACATCTGTACGGCAAGTATTTTTGCTCAAAACAGTATATTCCTTGGGAATTTGATGAGAATTCTTGCTTCATACCATTTCAGAACTTACACTAAAAAAACTCCGGCCGTGGAAGTCGTACTTACGGGCTATATAAACATACCGTCCATGTTCCGGGCTCAGAAGCCGAAAGTTTAAGGCGCAGCAGCCGAAGCAGTCAAAAGCTACGGCTCCAGCACACAGAAGTTTCGGCCTTTGAGCCCAAATAGTAGCGGATGGTTTGTCTATATAACCAGTAACTTTTTTCTCCAGTGTAATCACAATAGTTGTCTGTCAACTTATAGGTGTTCAAGATCCCGTTGGATTCATACTTCCGATCTTAATGCTCGTTCTACAGGCAAGGTATCGGAAAGCGGGCTCAGGGTGGCAAAATTTCATGAAAAATAAAATCTTGAAATTTCGCGTGAAATATTTCATGAAATTTCAGAAATTTATGGAAGATATTAATAAATACCGGTTCCTTTTCATGTTTCGCAAAATGTAAAAATTGTGACTTTCTTCTAGTTTTGTGTGTTTGAATGCGGGTTGCATACTTTTGCCCCTGAAGAATTTGAAATATTTCACAGTCTCGTGAAATTTCATGGAATATTTCAATGAAATTTCCAATCTTTCATTTATTTCTTACGTTTCATGCCACCCTGAGCGGGCTGCGTATTCACATTTGGACCACATTTTGCACTTAGGAACTACCATTTTCGTAGCTTATTTCAGGTTGAACATAATGTGCCATTAATAAGTAGATAGGTGTTTTTATAAATGAGGCAGGAATTGTAGTTCCGAATAATCGCAAAATGCAGTCCGTTTATCGAGTACGAGGTATGTCGCTGAATGTGCCCAGATAAGCGCAGCCAATGAGCGCATAGATATCACAGCAGCGGGATGTCACGTCCATACGTACTTGCGAAACAGAATTCCGAAATCGTGGCTGGATAAACATTTCCGAGACGAGGAGGACCCAGGCTTAGCGTTATTAGATGTCATGTGTAGTAAGCATGAGGGTATTTCGCCGAACTGGATGTCTAGAGCATGGCCTCAAGTGTCATGGGCGTAATCAATTATTTTCTGGCTAGATGCCGCCGCCGCCGCTCGCGCTCGAATCACGAGGGTCATCTTTTCGAAGGCTCCCTCCAACACTCCTGCGAGTGTATACAACTGTACTGCCGTGCTAAGGAAAAACGCTGTATGAGCCCTCAGGCGTTGCCAACTTTCCTCTGGCAAATCACTAATTTTCGGTAACATTTTTGAGAATTTTTCTGTCAATTTCTCAGATAATTGTGTTTGTAATTTGATCTAAAGTGTCTGAAAATTTCAAGGAAAAATATTCACAATTTTCCTTCAAAATAAACATTTTATCGTAGGAAATTTGGCAACTCTCGAATGTTCATACGGCGTTCTTCCTTAGCACGGCAGTGTAGGAATCCTCGCTGTCCTCAGCTCAAAATTAGTTGGCAGTATATTTTGTGTGCGTCTTGGATGGCTTGAGATGTCCGTCAAGTTGAGCGTAAACCACACGGAGAAAAAAACCTCGTGCGTGAGACCCGAAGTTTAGGTCATAGGTATGGATCTCTGAAGTTTTCGGATTGAGCATCTGAACACCTAAGGTCTAGCTGTCGAGGTTCGGATCGCACATCTGAAACTTCAGTTCTTACATCTGAAGTACTTCGGTTTTCACATCCGAAAAACTTCGGTTCTTACATCTGAAGTACCTCAGTTGTAAGAACTGAAGTTTCAGATGTCAAACCTGAACTTCGGCAGTTAGACCTTAAGTATTCAGATGCTCAATCCGAAAACTTCAGAGATCCATATGACCTAAACTTCGGGTCCCACGCACGAAGTTTTTTTCGCCGTGCATGGTGTCTCGGACCGGAACAAACGAGGATTTTTCAGGGAAAATCAGGGAGAAGTTGGAAAATCTGTTCCAGAAACTGGGAATTTCCTCTTCTACCGCATAGAATTTGTTGTTGCACGTGAGTCGCCATCATCGACTTCTTAAGTAGCATATTTGAATCTTCAGGTCATCCACTGAAGAAGAAACTCCGTCCCTGAAAGTCGTACTTATGGGCTGTATAGACAAACTGTCCGCGTTCCGGGCTCAGAGACCAAAAGTTGCGGGCGTGGCACCCGGAGCAATCGAAGCTATGGCTCCAGCACCCGTAACTTCCGGCCTCTGAGCCCGGAACGGTCGGTATGTCTTTACAACCCGTAACTCTTTTTTTTTCAGTGAGCATGGTGTCTAGGACCATGGTGCCTAAAACCGGAACAAACCGGGGTTTATCAGGGAATGAAAACTTTTAAGTGAAATCAGGAATAAGTCAGGGAATCTGTTCTAGAAACTGGGAATTGCTCCTTGCCGCGCATAGAGTTTATGTTATTGCACACAAGTCGCCATCGTTGACTTCTTGTATGGCATATTTGAATCTTTAAATCATCAGAATAGAGGGATTACCCTTGACCAGGTAATATAAACACCAGGAAAGGTTTCGGAGTTCACAATTTGAATGTGCGCCAAAGAAACGGCTGGAAGTTGAAAAAAATTTATATTCATATCTTGAATCCTGGAGAATTATATAATTTTTCTCTAGTAAATCCGGGAAAGCGGGAGAAACCAAGGTTTCCCATCAGGGAATAAGATCTTAAAAATCAGGGAATGGGCATGATCAAGAATTTAGAAACCCTAGCGAAAACATTCCGATCGACGATCCTCTTGATTTTGTATGGGATGCCGAAGAAAAATTTACGTAATGCGTGCGTTGTAAACAGACCAAAACTTTAGAACGTATTCATAGTAATAATAACTATGGACAACTGACCTAAATGTACAGGAACCATGTAGCACGTAAAACCTATTACGAGTTACAATTACAAAGAGTAACAATTAATTAAGAGTTAATTGTCACTCTTGATTAGTTCATTTTCATATAGTTCTTTTTCACATAAATTTGTTCATTTTAGAGATCCCGAACTGACAATGTCCCCCCGTAATTATAGGTTCCCAGAAACCGGCGAAATCAAATAGACTCTGGTTCACTCTTTTTCATAATGATCATCCCTGGATCGCCATAGCAACCGCAGGATTCCGAACCGCAGTAATTAGCCCAATTAATTGCTGCGCACTGGATTGGTGCCGCGTTTAACAAGAGCCAGGGACTTAAACGGTGGAGACATAATTGGTGAATTGTAACAATTAATCACCAGTTTCCTACGTTTCAACGAGTGGAAAAAATACATTTTTGCACAGCGTGCCAACATTGAGCAAGCAGTGTCATATTAGTTGGACTGAGTTCTCAAAAGTTTTATTGCAATAAAAATGGTTTTTATGAAAATTGTATTTATTCGTTGCAGTTGCGCTTCGTTGAATGAACCAACCTAATCCGTTTTACTTTCTCGCTCCCATAGGGTAGAGAGGAAGTATTGTCATCCTCCAAGAAAAAAAAAAAAAAAAGTTGAAATTTCATCATTTTTTAGTTCGATTTTTTTCGGAGGGTGAGGAGAGAGTGACTATCTCCATTCGTGGTCACTTTCGCCATGGGTTTAAAAATAAAATTTCGGAGAAACTTTAAAGCCCTACCGCAAAATTCACAAATTTCAGAATTGACTTTTCAACACACGTACATCTAAATATTTTTAGAAAATTTAAGCAGCTCATTTGCGGGAAGAACACAGCTTCGAAGCCAGATACCAAAATTTTCACCTAAATCGCTCGGAGATTTTCCTTATTTTTCGGCATTACGGACCACATTTTCCTCAGTATCACGATGTCCTCGTGTCACTTTCTATCGTACTTTTCTCAAGGGTATTCAAGATAATGGAGTTAAAGCAAGGTCCCATCCACAATAGGTTGAGCCAAAGACATATGGTGTTTTTTTCCTGTATGCCGTTTGAAAATTCAAATTTAATCTTCTAAAACTTCTTTCTTTCCTGTTTCAGGTTTGTTCAGATGCTCATTCTACCACGTATCATTCGAATAAGTCGTTAGAGGTGAGTCACACTGATCATCCTTCAGCTTTGGAAACCTTCTCTAATGAAAATTTTTTCCTTTTTTTCCATTCTCTCATTACCGAACTTAGAGCTATTTCTGTTTCTTATACAAAAATAGATTCTGATTTTGTTATCTACATTACGACTTGATGACAATGGCAGGCATACTTGATAGAATTTCGATCACGTTCGCCAAAATTTGAAGTTGGTGGATCTTAGACAAATTTGACGCAATTATCGTCGTCTCTCTGACGTAAGGGCGTATCTCAATATTCACGTGAGCCCTGTTTTTCATATAAATTCATGCTTTCTGAAGATCATGTAGAAATCGAGATACGCCCTTACGTCAGAAGAACGACGTTATATACTAAATGAAAATCTCCTCGCAATAGATACATTTTGATACAAATTGAAAAATAGTGCAGTTGTGTGATATTTTTAATAAGCAAAATCAAATATGTCGAATCACTGAACTTTTCAATTTTGAGGAAGTTCGATTGAAGCACGACGAGATACTTTTCATTTTTTCGTAGTTGTATTAAAAATGAATGAACGATCCAAAGTTCGATGCCAAAAAAATCGTGTCTCCAGAAGCTTGATATGAATATCAAATTTTGACAACTTCAAGCAAGTTCGACAAGTCGGTAAAGTCCCGATTAATCCAATGTTCCGTTAAGGAGAGTACCCGGTAGGTACATCGGGTACATCCAGGAAGCGATTTTGCACGACAAACAAAATAAGTATACTCGTGAAAATGAAAGCTTCCTCATGATTATATCTTTTTAATTAATGCAGTCAATTGTTTTGTTGCCACTAAGAAATTTTTTGAGAACTCCCGTAAATTGCCATAGCCCCAAGACGGTTTAAAGGGCAGATCATTCAGGGTGTTTAGCATCAGGATTTTCCCGATTTTTGGGACTTTACCAGATTTGAGGTCAATAACGATTTAATCCGCATTTAAAGAAAAATCGGTCGTTAAATCTGGATTTGAGAAAAGTCGGCTGTCCGATCGGATTTTTTTTTTTTTATGCTTTTGCATACGATTATGCAGAAATTTTAATTTTTCTCCACAAAAAATTAGGATTTTATCAGGATTTGGAAAAATTATGAAATCAGGATTTAGCAGTCAAAATATGGGAAAATCAGGATCTCCCAATTTGAAAAAAACTAGACACCCTATCATTAGAATTTTCCTCAGAGAGCCATAGAGACAGCAAGGGGCCGTTCATATATTACTTAACGCTCCAGGAGGGGGAAGGGGGATGAGGAGAGCGTTACACCATTTTGTTTTTACGTCTTAAATGATAGGGACCAACGTCACAAAAGCGTCACAAGGGGTGGGGGTTAAAAAATCCGAAACAGCGAGTTACGGAATTTATACACGGCCCCCAAGTTAAATTTTTGAAAGAATTCTCAAATGGAACGGGACTCGAAGAGTGCGACCTAGAATTCCGACCTAGATCGGGATCGATATGTGTCACGGTGATTTCCGCTGGTATCGGTTCGACACGAATGCAATGCTCCCAGAAAATCGGATTTTTTCCCTCCATTTCTTCGTTTTGCTGGATAATCTCATTTGAGGAAGATGTTGACATCCATTGTTATCCTAAACCTTACGCAACAACTACGTTATTCACTTTCTTTCTCTCTGAGTTTTTACCTACGTGTTCTTTACCGAAGAGAGCGTTACGTCACGCGTTTTAAGTGGGGGAGAGGGTAAAAAAATTCCAAATTTCAAGTTACGTACTAAAAGGACGGCCCTGAAACCCAGAAAATAGGCAAGCTTTGCTATATTTTAAGGTCGTTCCTTCAAAGTTTTTTAATATATTGTTTAAGATTTTCTCAGTTTGCCGCGATCTGCGCATCGCAAGATCAGAAATTTCTGCATTCTTCAATTGAACTTCATGTTGCAATTAGGAACTACAATTGAGGGGCTTCGAGGAAAAGGCGCGTAAGTGCAGTTTTTGCCACTTCGAGAAATACGTGTTCGAAGTTTCGACATTTCATGGATCGAAAGAAAGTTCAACCTGACTTTTTGATGCTTAAAAATTGAAATTTTGAAGCGAAAATTTCCCAGAACATGTTTTAAGACTATAGTTTTACTTAAAATTATCCATATATCAATTTTTTAAAAAACTGCTCTTATGCTCCTTGTCCTCCAAGCCCCTCAATTTCTAGCTCAGTTCAGAAACAACGTATCCACCATTAATTTCCCTATGAACGTAAGTGTTTTCACGGATGAGCCTGGTATTTTTGTTCGCCTAATTGCAAATAGTGAAGTCCAAGTTTATTCCCATGCAGTTGATCCTGAAAAAGTTTTACGTTCTCCGCGTGGAATTTTGACAGGGGAAGTATTTCGCATTGCTTCATTTTCCACCCCATTTAGTGATCCATTTTTGTTTTTTTCCTCGGGAACCTTGCCTCTCGGCTCTCAGCGCACCTACCATACGCGTCCTTGCCACGGCTTTTTCCATCCGGGCACGGTTACGACACCGCACAGAGGAACAAGTCAATGGACGAAGTCGGACAAGAAATTTTTGTCCAAAATTTCAAATTTTGCCGTCAATTTTGTCACAAATTCTATTTCAATGAGTGTTTCTGATAGGAAATTTCACGAAAAAACCATTGAAAACCACTTTTAAACTTTTTTGTCTCATATTTTCAAAGATACAAGCTTTCAAAGTTTCCAAATTTTGTCCGACTTCGCCTATCGACTCGGTCCAGTGTGCGCCGCGGAACATCGAAAGTAACGCGGCGATTTTTCCACGTCGCCGGCAAGCCGCGTCTCGCACGAAGCTCAAAAATGCAAATGCCTGATCGATCGCTCCTCTCGCTCGGGTAAATCGGATAATGTAAGTAATGCTCATATTCCATTCAGCGCGTACTGCCGGCCGTAAACATCTACTCTGCCGTGCTAGGGAAGAACGCCGTATGAGCGTTCGAGAGTAACCAAATTTCCCCGGATAAAACATGTATTTTTGACGAAATTCATGCTTATTTTTTCTTGAAATTTTCAGATATTTTAGATTAGATTGCGAACAAAATAGTCTGAAAAATCGGAAGCAAAATATTTACGATTTCCTCAAGAAATTCGTGTTTTATCAGAGGAAATTTGGCAACGCCTGAAGGTTCATAGGGCGTTTTTTTTTAGCATGGCAGTACTTAAGTCGAGTATTTCTCGCGCGATGCATATTTCAACGCCGGGTCCTTTCTTCGGCCCCGAAGTGGGTCGCCCTCGGGGCATCGGTCAGCCCAGTTTGGTGTTATCACCGGAGTGAAAAGTCCCGCGAGGGGGAGGGAAGTCCTCTCTCACCCCTTTCTCCCCGCTGCGATGGAATTTGTAGGGCAAGGGTAAATCGGATCCAATCCAATCGAAAGAAACCAATTAACATTCGAAATCGAGTTGAATAGCGTAAAGCAAACCTGTCATTTCTGCAGTGGGCTTTCAATAAAAAGCGTGTCTGTTTAGCGAGCGGGAAAAATTGGGTTAATTTAGTCGTGGGGAGGCTGGGTTTAGGGTAGCTCTATGAATGAGGCCTAATCGAACATCAAAATTGAAATAGTCCCAATACCCCATGACCCTGAAAAGATAATCATATTTTCCATTGTCGTTACTGCAGGTGTGGCCCTATTACCAAACTGCGTTCAAACGATAATTGATTAATCATTCAGGAATGTTCGTGCCGTAAATCAGCCTCCAAAATCTTAAAATAGGAAAAGTCGAAAGCACCGTTTCCAATTGAATCGCGGGACGTGCAAAAACCGCTAATGTCCATTTCTCCAGTTTTAAGTTTTTGTGAGTTCATAATTCTTTTAAAGAGTTGATACAACCATAAAATTGATAAGAGGACTCGTATTGGGATCAAGGAAACCCGAGGACGAGTTTTAACGCCAATTTCGTGGTTGCAACCAACTCTGGAAAGTATTCTGAACTCAAAAATTTAAGAGTGAAAAAATGGACTTTAGCGGTTTTCGCACGTCGCGACTCAACTGATCTTTTAAGTAAAGGGGACGGTTATTTTTATTTCATTTTAAGATTTCGCATGGAAGGATGATTTTCGGAATGAACATTCCTCATTGATCTATACTCTCTGAAAGTTCAATTTTTTTTAAAAATAATCCATTCAATGGATAAAATTTGAATCATATTGATATTACCCAGAATGCATTGCGTCAAATCTGAAAATACACTTGCAGGGAACGCCGCACTCAAGCCAGACTCGAAAGTAATCGAAATAGCGTGGCGCATGATCAGGAGAGAGATAGTAACCAATCCATTAGGGCATACTCATCTCCGTTCCCATCATAGGGATTGACTCGCATCGCACCCATCACATACTCAGCATGTAAGTGCATATGAGTCACAGCAATCTCCTTGAGAACGATGGTTCGCACTCCTTTCATCGAATTCCGCCCCCTCCCCAACCCCATTCCATCTCCACCGAGCACCAATGCATACATACGAAGAACTGAGGATTTTTTTCTCCTTATCATCAATTCTTTGTTTGCTCAAAGCGTTTAGATCACGAAGAGTATTGCAACGCTGCCGTATAAGAGTTATTAAACGTTTCTTTGAATTTATTTTTGAGGTTTGAGACCCAGTTAAATCGTCTTATTGTAAGCTTCCTCTTCGCGTGAATGGCTCATTGTTTCAATTTGAAGCGGTGTTTTTAAAGGAAAATTCCACGAAAAACCCAATTGAACCACTAAACTTCTATGTCTCGTAGTTCAGAAAATATAAGCTTCCAAAGTTCGTAAATTTCGTCCGACTTCTCCCATTGATTCGTTCCGTTGTGCGTATAGGGCCATCGGCAATCGCCACACTTTTTTCTACTTTAGGCTTTTAGATGTTTCTCTTGCCGGTGCCGGCAGAGTTTTCGAGATTGGGTCGCAATCGCAGATGGATCAAGTGGGAAAGTTCCGAGGAATTCCCGGCAGAAATCTACTTCACCGGAAATTTTCAGCAGAAACACAAACATTTGCTCGCTTGCTCAGCATCA